TGGCAACTGTTTAGACTGAGTCTCCCACACAGAGTGCTTATAAAGTTATTACCAACCTCCTTCAAAATGCCACCCAAAAATGTTTTATGGTTTATTCAAGTTACTGGTACTCTTTGATAACCTTAATATACATCTAAGCTAAACAGCCTGCAGCAATGACAGAGTGAACAGACCAAACCTACAACTGTAGTTCTGAAGTATAGAGAGTAAGGATGTGCAAAGAAAAAATATTCAGTATTATTCAGATTCGGGATTCTCTGATTTGAATATATTCGGTATAACCCAATATTCCAAAATACCAAGATCAGTATGGATACCCTATTCGAGAAATATTTGGGATTCCTGAATATATTCAGCTCCATTATACCAAATGGGGCAATTGGAGTCAATGGCAAATCTCTCCTAGGGTATATTCAGGGGCCTGGATGGGAGGGGGTTTGAGCTGGAGGCACCAAATTTGCAGTGTAGCTGCCAGAGCATCTCTCCAAAAGAACCCTGAAGAGGGTCCAATTCTAGGGGCACCCAAAGTGGGTAGTTGCAGAAATCCCACCCCTCAGTTTGTGCTTTAGAGATTCTCACATTTGACCTTAGTCCTGTAGGTTTCTTGGCACTGTCATATTATAGCACTGGATTGTGCTGATGGGCACTGTTGTGCTGCTTTTGCTGTCCTTGCAACCCCCCTCCCCCTTGCTTGCACTGTGGTTCTGTGGCTGTGCATGACATCAGACTTGTGGGGCTGGCTTTTGCCACAATGGCACAGGGTGCTGCCATTGGACACTAGTAGGTTGGCACTGGTTGGGTTCTGCTGCTGGCCACTAACAGTGCACTGTTTCTGCTATCCTTACAAAAATGCCACCCCTCAGTTTGCATTTCAGAGATTCGCACATTTGATCTTAGTCCTGTTGGTTTCTTGGCAGAGCCACAGTGGCACTGGTTCTGTAAGGTACACTGCACTGGTTCTGCTGCTGGCCTAGCAAACAATACCCCCCCCCCCAAAAAAAATGTCACTTTCGACTGTAGAGATACTTTGGGAGAATCTCTTCTCTGCTGGACTTTTGCTATTTTCCCCACCATTGGAAACAATGGTGGGATGGGGGCACCCTTTTTGGGTGCCCCTAGAATTGGACCCCCTGGTCCAATCGTTTTGAGACTTGGGGGTTCTTTTGGGGAGAGGCTCCAGCAGCTACATTGCAAATTCGGTGCCTCCACCTCAAACCACTTCCCCCTCCAGGCCCCTGAATTTACCCTAGGAGGGATTTGCCACTGACAACAATGGCCCCATAGGGTATAATGGAGCCAAATATATTTGGGAATTGGATTCTCTAATTCAGCTGCGAAATACACATCGGAGAATCGTATTTGATTGTATATATGCCCAAATAATGCTGATGAGGCATTTGGGTATATATTCGGCTTGGCTTCTGCTGAATGCACACCCCTAACAGAGAGTCGTATCATTGGGTTCTGGGACAGTTGGAAATAGAGTGCTATTCTGAAGCAGTGACTATCCTTACAAAGCATAAAGAAAGTTTCGTTTTCAACAACTCTTGCGTAAAAGCTAGACTGTTTTGGACAGTGGTCAGTGAAAAGATATGAAGCTGAATACTCTTAGAACTCCAAGAGACATATGTGAAATGACAGCATCTACTGCAGATGCCTGTGATCAATTTTACTACCACTTTTTACACTTGAACACCATCTGCTCATACGTCAATTTATATTGCACATTAAATTACATTATATCATTTATTTTCACACATTTTCACACATTCTTTACAAGAAGAGAAAATCTGGATCAATACGTAATTTATAAAGAATATTTATACCCCGCTATTCCACAAATAAATTGTTCAAAGCAATTTCTATCAATAAAACCATGAAATAAACTAAGAGTCCACCAAAAGATTAAGAATGAAAGAGCAATCTATTAAGAAATACTATAATGCAAGCACATAAGTTGATGCCTAGATGTTGTGGTCAAGTGACTAACGTGGAACAAGCTGATGCTGAATTCAGACACTGGAAAGGCTGGTTGGAAGGGCTGATAGTTAAGGAAAGATGTGTGGCCACTTTGGGTGGTGTGATATTCTACTGGCAGGTACACTTCTAGGTTCAGCTGATCTATGCTACTGTAAAATTAAGGCTCGATTACTGGAAAGCACTTTATGTGGGGATGACTTTAAAATGACCTCACAAATGTCAGTTAATTCAGAATACAATGACTTGTCTTTAGACAAAAACAAATTGTCTTTTTCATTTAGAAAATGCATATGTTGCTTCTCCAGCAACCTGCCTGAGGTAAAATACAATGATAGCTAATTCTTAACATGGCCCAAAAATATGGATTAAAAAAATTCATATCATACAGCCACGTTCAGATGGTGATTTCTCATTGCAAATATAGAGGAACTGCCAGTTTTGCAGAAAAATTCTAAGCATCTTCTTAAAATTGAAGGATTTACAAAAAATACCTGACGTGGGCAAGCATTTTCTGTTACATGCACAGATAAGGTAAAGGAAATGATTCTCAGGAAACTATGATAGCTGGAGAAAGGGACTATGATGTTGGGAAAAAGGAGGTGGATTGTTGGTGTCATTGCAGCCCAGCAGAAAAGAAACTAGACAGGCAAAAACACAGTGGCAGTGTTCAGAAAGTAGAGGAGACAGTGTGGCGTTATCCTTTCAAGGGCTGCCATCCCCCAGGTGGGAGCGGGGGATCCCCCAATTTCATGGACCCCTGCCCACTGCCAGCCAGCTTGCCAGTGAGGGGAAGCCCTGCCCTCAACAGCCACGACCTGGCGTATGCACGACCTGGCGTCCCCAACATGATGACATCATGTGGAAATGACATCATCATTCCGGGGATGTCGTGTGGTGACATTCTGGTATTTGGGGCAAAACTCTATGGTTACCATAGTTTTGCCCAAAATACCAGAGCATCGTCACGTGACATACCCAGCATGATGATGTTGTTTCCTCATGATGTCATTGCATCAGGGACGCTGCGCATGGTGACATTGCCCCGTTCCCACACTCCTGGAGAGCTCCTTCCCCACAAGAGCTTAGGACTTCGGTAACCCTAATCTTTTCTTCCACAGCCACCAGCCAAGTGGCGGTGGCTGGGAAGAGGGGGAGAGGGAGGAGGTGGTCCAGCTTTTTTCTTTCCTTTCCTTAGTCCCTGCCTCTGTGCAGGAGTGCAGGTTGCAGTGGCTGAGAGGCAGCAGCTGAGGCACTTCCTCCCTGCTTCCTTCCCCACCTACTGCCCCAACTTCTGCTGAAAAGACAGAAGGCAGGCAAGAAGAAGTGGCTATGAAAAATAGAAGCAGAGGCAATGCACCACTACAACATGCTGATGGGCTCCCACTTGTAAACCCATTAAAAAATTAACAAACCAGCCATAAAACCCAGGAAAGGCAGAGAAATGTAACATTCACTTTCCATACTCAGTGTGTTCCTGGTGCTGTAGACCCCACAAACATGAAGGACACCTCTCCCTTTACGAACCTGTGCACCAACATCATTTGTTACACTAGATTCTTCTCACAGTTCCCTCCCACAGAGGCCCAGATACTCTGGGATAGGCTACCAGGAGCCAACAGCCCTCTCTTCCACTTACTTTAGAAGATGGCAAGGAGAGCTTTCTGCTTATTTTTATTGTAGTTTCTGTGGACTGTAAATACAGTTTTAGGCTTTAATTGTTGTTTTGAATAGGGGAGGGGTTACTTTTTAGTGCATGTTTTACATATACCTTATATACTATCTAGGGCCCACACTCTGGGGAAAGACAGTGTCTTTATATTTAATAAACAGAGAACAATTAAATCAGCATCCATTTAACCAAAGGCAGAAGGAAGAATCACAATGAAAGTTCAAACAGGCAAATACAAAACAAAGAAAATCAAAAGCCAGACAAAAATGGCATTTAAGTGCCATGCAAAATAGTTTGTAACAGCAAAGATACAAGGTGAACCTCTTGTGGAAAAGTATTTCAGGGAAAGTGCCCCAACCAGAAAGGCACTGTGTGTCTAATTACCATCCACTTCATCTCTATTGCTAGCAGTACCAAGACCGGCCTGACCTGGATATCCCAATCTCATCAGATCTTTGAAGCTAAGCAGGGTCAGCCTTGGCTAGTATTTGGAAGGGTTACCGCCAAGGAATATCAGGGTTGTGATGCAGAGGCAGGCAATGGCAAAACCACCAGTCTCTTGCCTTAAAAACAAGTCTAGCTCACCACCTAGTGGTGCATAACACTAAAGAGCTAGAACTTCTGGCTGCCAGACAATCTTAGGATCTCCTGGCTATTCTACACACAATGCCATACAATTATTATCATTATTAGTAGTAGTAGCAGTACCAAGACCTCTGATGCCAACCTTTAAGAATGGGCAGGTTCACATGGGAAGAGATACACATTTAGATATGCTGAGATTAGAGAGCTGAGGGCTTCAGAGACAAAACCTGGTACTTTTACCCCAAACAAACTGGAAGCTAATGAAGATTTTGTAATACAGTGGTATTACAATGTCCAATGTTTTCCATAAAGAAGAAGAAGAGGAGATTGGATTTATACCCCACCCTTCACTACCCAGAGGAGTCTCAGTGCGGCTTACAAACTCCTTTCCCTTCCCCTCCCCACAACAGACACCCTGTGAGGTAGGTGGGGCTGAGAGAGCTCTGACAGAAACTGTTCTTTTTCAAGAACAGCTGTGCCAGAACTATGGCTTGCCCACGGTCATCCAGCAGGTGCAAGTGGGGAATCAAACCCGGTTCTCCTAGATTAGAGTCCATGCACTTAACCACTACACTAAACTGGAAGAAAAGTTAGAAAGCCCCATAAAGTGTGTACAGTCACAAAAGCTCGTAAGTGTGGCAAGAAGGAAAAGATACTAAACTCAAGATTCTTGTACTAGAGCACCTGGAATTAAACCTATAAGGTAACAAGCATTTAAAAAACAAAATCTAATAACTATTTTTATTTCTACAAAAATTATGCTTACCTGATATATTCTAAATGGGATGAAGCGAAATCCACTATCTTCTGGAGGGTACTCCATGAGTTTCCTGTTTATGGCCCAAAATTGGTCAAATTTGTCTGAAAATGAGAGTATTACATGTTGTTTTAATAAAATAGGTCCTATCAAAGTTACTGATTTTTTTAATCATTTCAAACTATTTGAGTATCTGCTTCAAATAGAAAGACAATAAAATAAATAAAAGGAAAGTATGAGGAACAGAACATGTCTTTCCCTGTATTTCAGTTTGTCCTCATCAAGGGTGACAAAAACGCCTTCATATTTAGGCAAGAGATCATTAAATCAGTCAAGTAATTAATGGGGGGTGAATCACAAACGATATTTATCTAGTTTCTGCACAACACTGAACTTAAGTCAGTTTTCGTAGCAGTCAGTCAAGGTTAAGTACATTTTTTTAGTTTTTCAGTTTTCATAGCAGTCAGTCAAATAAGGTTAAGTACATTTTTTTAAAAAATCACTAAACGATACGCTACCCCCGCCCCTGGCCTATATAATAACACATTCAAATGTGTACATCAGTCAGCAAACAAGTAGCTCTTTAGAGTATTATGGGTTGTTATTTGTTTCATTTGCATAGGTTCCAAAGTGTTGGATACAGTATATATGCTGTGACAATAAGGAAATATAGTTTGCATACTACTAGGGGAAGAACACACTGTTGAATCGGGAAATTCATTTTTGATATACTATAACTTGTATCACCAGAATCTCATAAACCTAGATGAACTCAAACTACAGAATGCAACAAAATATTTTGTTCACAACATCTACAAGACTATCACTGAGTGATGTTCCTACTCATCAAAAGCTGCTCTTAAAAAAACAAACCCTAACAGAGTATGCCCCTTCATGTATCCTTGTCATTTTAATGCTATGAAGACTTCAAAAGCAAGTTACTCCCAAATATTAAAATGTCATGTAGGAAAAATAAAATAGCATTTCTGAGAATGAGAGAGCTAGAACACCTTTGCTATAGCAGTTTCTTCACTAGAAGTACTGATGTGTATCAATGATTTTTTCACATCATTCCCAGCTATTAAAACTACGATGAGAAACGCATCTTACAGGTTGAAAGCTGACAGTAAACCTGAAAATTGGAAACTAATGAAAACGTTGTAAAGTTTCATTATTAACTATTTTTATGCTGTACATTGTGATTTATAAAATGTAATTCAGCTTAGTTATTAAATGTTTATACACATGAATCATGTATTTAAGAAAGCATCTCGGAACTGCCTGCCATTACATATTCAAATACCAGAAAATTCTTAAAAATATGTAGAGTGTCATTGCAGAAATTAATACTGGAACTGCTCTGAAATCTTCAAGATGGACTATATGACAGTTTGAGAGGCCAACTAACACTTTAGAGGGTGGCCCAAACCAATGTTCCCTCTAAGCTGTGGAGTCTTGTGAGCAAAAATTCTACTTTGTGAGCTCCTGGCATTAAAGTTGTGAGCAAGTGATTTGGCTCCTGCATAAAGGAGTTTGCTCTGGAGGCACCCTTCCTGAGCTAAGACAAAAATGTATGAGCCGGAGGCTAAAAAACTGTGAGCTAGCTCACACTAACTCAGCTTAGAGGGAACAATGGCCCAAACAATCCATTTGATTCACATACTTGAATACCAGTCTGCCACAAGTAGGTCTAATACAAAAGGTGAGGATGAATCTAGCGAGAAAGAGAACCACAGGTGAAGGATACTGATCCTTCCTATTTTGCTCCCTGCAGCCCAGTCTCCCTCCTGGTTTCTCCCAAAGGCTGAACTCCAGTAACAGAGCCTGGCTAACCTCAGGGGCAAACTGCCCTGGAAATAATAACTGGCAAGGAGGTTCAGCACATTTTTTGTATTTTAAATAATATTGCCTACTTTCAAGACAAGTGTGCCTAAACTACTCAAAGAGGTAAGCCCTGAGATTCTTGCTAGCATGCAGACATTTTGTCACTAGTCAAAAGGATCAGACAATTTTTAGACACCCCCTCACTGCCTAAGATACAAGTCATACTACTCTACCAGTCTGACTGTAGCTGTTTCAACAATAGCTACACTTACTGGACATTCCAGATTCAATATAACCTGAGGGCTAAAACGCTCCTGTAGTAGAAATTTCTACCACCCCAAAATCAGCAAGAGCTGTTTCTATCTTCACTCTCTCCCAAATTCACAAATTAATTCACCTCAAGGGTTCTCAGACTTGCAGTGCAGTGAAGCAGAGTTACTCCAGTGTAAGTCCATCAAAGCTGATGCAGACTAATGTGATATGCCAAACACAACTCTGTAGCTGTCCCCAATGTTGTATTATATGCTTTTAAATAGTGCATTGTGTGGCTTTTTAATCAATACATAAATTAATGTTTTCATTCAAAAATGTATGCATCAGTGCATAGTCAGTTACAATCAACTAGAAATGCCAGGGGACTATTCATATACCCTTTCCAACATGTTTGCACATTTTTCTTAAATACTAGTTTGAATACAGTATTTGATTTTAACCTTCAGTAAATGACTGTGTGATAGCTTAGATATCTCAAAATGGATATGAAAATAAACAGGACAGTTCAGAAATCTATAATAGGCCAGATAAAACTACTGTGTGACTCCCAGGTTTCCAGAACCTCAGTTATAAAGAACATTCCAAAAAAGAAGCAGTAACAAAATAAAGATCTCCTCAGTTGGAAAACTTTTCTAGCCCACTTTCTAAATAGTAAATTGCTTTGTTAAAAAAATGATATTTTCATCTCAAAGTTTGAGGTCCTAAAGAATCTTTACCTACAAGAAACACACCTTTTACTGTTTTCATTTTGCAACAACTAAAATTATAATTTAAGCCAGCAACAGACAAATAACATGATAGTAGGCTATCTGAAAATGTATTTCCAAAACTGCAGCTCCAAGTTCTTGACAGCAACATACAAGAATGCAGTAGCCTTTAGTATTGTATTAAACCATTTAGTCTGATGCAATGCAGCTTAGAAGGTTATTAGTAGGAAAAAATATATGGTGTTTCATAGAAAAAGCAACTTGCAGATGTATCATTAACTCTGAGGCAGTTATCACAACTGCTACTTTCTTTTCTTTTTTGTGGTCATAAATTTTGTTTCACAGAGGGGTTTAAAATCATCAACCTATCTATAATGAAAGCCATACTGAAAGATGCAGCATGTATTTTGAAAAGTTCTCTTGGTTTCATAAGTTTTTCTTATTTCTCTTTTACTAAGTAATGAAATATAAAATTAGCATTTGAAAGCGTTCAAAACATTATCTGTTAGGTTCCACAGGTGCAGTTTCCAATGACACACACTGAAACCCATACAACCAACATTTCTAGGCAACCTCTTATCTTGGGATTACCACAATGTTCTCCCAAACAAGTCAAACACACTTCTGCTTCAAACCTTCTTAACAGAATCGTTGATAACTAAGAACATTAGCAGACACAAAGCGTAGAAGTTCACCTACACAAATCTATACCTCTGCCCAAAAAAGCTTTTCATTAAGCTCTCTGCTTTGCTTAAGCATACTTTTAATTTTCCAGTGGTGAAGCCTTTCACAAGCTCATTTTTTATTCATCTGCCAAACTATTATTATATTCCCAACATTGACCTCAAGTTTGAGCCTGTATGAGCAGAAGTAAATTTAGCAAGCAGCACTGGGGCAAAATTTTACACAGAAACACTGAAGCCTGTGCTATTCAAACTTTATACTTTCCAGACAAGGTAAATTAGGACTCATGCTTAGCTTTAACAAAATTACTGAAGTTCGTAAGAGTTCACAGTCCTATGCGATTGTTGCAGTTGCACCAATGTCTAGAATTGGGTTAATCTCTTTCACCTAAATATCCGCTATGCAGTTTATCATTCTTTTTTACCTCTTTCATCTAATAAGTTGATTGTCTAAATATCTGAACGAGACACAGAGGGGCAATTTAGTTTCAAAAACATGTAAAACTGAAACACCTTCCTATAGCATTTAATAATGCATAGGACTGAAAACATAGGGAGAAAACATAAGACCATAAGAGAAGCCATGTTGGATCAGGCCAATGGCCCATACAGTCCAACACTCTGCGTTACACAGTGGCCAAAATCGACCAGCAGGGCCAGAACTCCAGAAGCCCTCCCACTGTTGCCCTCCAAGCACCAAGAATACAGAGCTTCACTGCTCCAGACATAGTGTTCCTTGTAGCTAATGGCCATCATGGACCACTGCTCCATGTGTTTATCTAATACCCTCTTGAAGCTGTCCATGCCTGTAGCCACCACCACTTCCTGCAGCAGTGAATTCTATATGTTAATTACTCTTTGGGTGAAAAAGTACTTCCTTTTATCTGTTCTAAGCCTACTGCTCATCAATTTCATTGATTGCCCACGAGTTCTTGTATTGTGAGAAAGGGAGAAAAGTACTTCTTTCTCCACCTTCTCTATCCCATGCATAATTTTGTAAACCTCGATCATGTCACCCCTCAGTCTTCATTTCTCCAAGCTAAAGAGCACTAACCTTTTAAACCTTTCTTCACAGGGAAGGTGTTCCATCCCCTTAATCATTTCAGTTGCCCTTTTCTGCACCTTTTACAATGCTATAACTTTTGGGGGGTGTGGTGACCAGAACTGTACACAGTATTCCAAATGAGGCTGCACCATAGATTTATACAGGGGCATCATGATACTAGCTGATTTGTTTTCAGTCCCCTTCCTAATAATCCCCAGCACAGCACAGCGTTTGCCTTTTTTATTGCAGTCGCACACTGAAGCAACATCTTCAGTGGGTTATCTACTACAACTCCAAGACCTCTCTCCTGGGTCAGTTAACACCAGACTCCATCAACATATATTTATAGTCAGGAGTTTTGGCTCCAGTATGCATCACTTTGCACCTGCCCACACTGAACCTCATTTGGCATGCTGATGCCCACTCACCCAGCCTCAACAGATACCTCTGGAGAGCCTCACAGTCCTCCCTGCTTCTCACACCCTGAACAACTTCATGTCATCCACAAACCTGGCAACTTCACTGCTTACTCCCAACTCCAAATCTTTAAACAAGTTAAAAAGCATTGGACCTAGTACCAAGTCCTGCCGCACCTTACTGCTTACTACCTTCCACTGTGAAAACTGCCCATTTATACTCGCTCTCTCTTTCCTGTTAATTAACCAGTTTTTTTAATACACAAGAGGATTTGTTCTCTTATCCCATGACTCTTAGTAATCTTTGATGAGGAACTTTATCAAAAGAAAAATAGAAATTGGTCAAAAATACCCTCAAATGAAAGTGAAGCATTTCCAGAAATTCTAAACTGATATGACTTCTTTGTTACTCTGAGGAAAAACAATTATACTATCACTTTAAGAATTCCTAGGGTATAAACACAACAGCCTAATTAAAAAAATTAATCACTCCCCTTTGAAGTTGTACTTACCATTCTGTAATCCCATCCAAAGTTGTTTATGATCCTTTTTTTGCATCTCATTGATAACTTGACTTTTATGTTTTAGGGCATCTGCTTCTTTTATAGAAGCCATGAAATGAGCTTCAATAACATCTTTAGAGGGACAATGGAGAAGGTCTTTCTCTGGAAAGTTCTGGAAAGAACAAAATCATCATCATTTAAAAAAAAGAAATGGTTCATCAACTCAGCAGTGTTTTCAGTAGTGTAACCAATGAGACTAAACATGGTGCATAATCCTCATTACCGTGGTAAATCTTGATTTCTAATTATGAACTAAAGGTACTTTGCAGAAGAGAAGGCATGATGTGCAGCAGCAATAATATTTAGGACTCCCAAGGAATTCCCAACTCCATAATATAGTTGAACAATTAGAAGATGCTCTCTTCCAATTTTCTAGCCCAACTTAAAGGCAACCAATGGCAAATTCCTTCCAGGAGAGGACCCATGCTGCATCCTTTGGGACAAGATCTAGCAAATGAAGAATGCCCTTCCTAAGCAAGAAGGCCTAAAGTTAGGGGAGAAAGCATACCAACAAAGATAGAAGTCACATGGAGAAATAGTTATTCTGCTACTGGAACCCCAGTGTAGGTCCCACCAGCTCAGTCTGTGTCTTCAATACTAGCTGTCCTTTCAGATATTATCTGGTTTTGCAGCAGCAAGAACCTTGTAAAGTAAATATTTTTAAAAACTCAATTCTGCACTCAAATGCAGCTGAACTGAGCGTGAATTAAAGTGGGGAGAGACAGATCAGTTACAAGTTCTGACAGCCAATATGCTAAAATGCATGTAGCAACCCAGCAGCCCTCACTTACTTCTTCCCCTGCATCTCATGCATACAAGAAATAATTATGAGGACCTCCAGTCTCAAAGCTATACATTAAAAATACTTCAAAACAAAGATAAATGTACCTTAAAATGCACTGTGATGTTCCAAGGAAGGGCTGTATTTGATGCATGAAGATCAAAGAGCAAGCCAATAGGGTAATGCCTAGAAACAGGTGAAAATGTAGAAGGCAAGAACCTTGACAGTTAAAATTGCAACATTTACCAAGACAAGAATGTTTTCAAATACATATTTAAAATATTTTCACATTAGAATGGTCTCGTCACACACATTTCCCCCCTAACCAACTGAAATATACCATCTCTGACAAATTCCTTTTAATTCAAAAGAGTACTGCTGAGGCCATAACAGTTACTGCAATATAATTTAAGGCATGCTGATAAAGTGTAAGGTGAATTGATTTCTGATCTTTTGTGTTTCACCCACATGCCAAAACACATTCTAGGTGAAGATACCACATTAAACTTTTAAGCCCCAAAAACATATGATGCATACTGGCCCCGTAGGTGTTCACTCTATGTGATGTGGCCAATTTCAGCAACAAACATACCTTGTAAGCTGAACTGTGATTTTGAAAGCAAGCCCCTTTTACCCATACAATGATTATGGGAAGGGACAATTTACATAAGAATTTCTCCACACTAACAGTAAATGTATACAGCATTAAGGACAGGCCAAACAATGAAAAAATGGCATTCTAGATTTGAAAATAATAGGCAGTATATCTCTTCAGCACCAAAAATTACACTGGTCCCCTAAAAACCTGGGAGCAGAGGAAAACCACTGTAGCAGAAAAATGTGAAATGAACTGTTTGAACAATATAATACAATATAACTATATTGTAAGCCACCCTGAGCCCTATTTGTAGGTAAGGGCGGCCTAGTAAATCGAATTTAATAAATAAATAATAAAAATAATACATAATAAAGTTTTTATCCCCAGGGCTTGAACAGGCCATTTCCAAAGTTATACTGTAATTCTGAGCCACTTTCTTAGCTTTTACTCTCTGAAGCAAGAAATCTCTTAGTTTTTACCCCTTCTGAAGCAAGAAATCTGGCTGAGGGGCAAAGAGAGCCAACAATAGCTACTAATGAGGTCATGCCATTCCAGCTTCTCATGTAGGTCCATCTAGCCTATGGCCTGATGACCTCACAGAACCAAATTCCTGTCCACATCACAGCAGAGGTGAGGCTGCAGCAAAGCAATAAGTTGTATTGTGCCTATGACTGGTTTTCTTCTAAGTCCCCTTATGTCACTCAGCCTGTTGAAACAAAACAGTTTTCCAAGATGTGCAATAACTATGCCAGTGAGTCCATTCCAAGTGCTTCTACTGTATTTATCATCCTGATTAACACATTTATTTCCAGAGAAAACTTAAGACGTCTGGGACAGACTCCTACACACCTGTTACAGTTACTATATCCAGGTAAGCAACAGACACCTCCAGTTTCAAACTAAGTGGACTGTGACGTGTTTCAGAAGAGTTTCACAATACTTTGACCGAGAAAAAGAAAATCATAGCTGCATTCATAATGAAGGTAAATTGTTCAGAACTCACTCCTCTGCTCTGCTGATTTTCATTTAAGCACAACTGAAGCTAATTTGATTGCTCCAGTTTCACTGGTCTCAACTTTCCAGAAGCCAATGTAAAGGAAAATAGGAAGTAATTGCAGGTAAGTAGGTCAAAGCTAGAGTTCTTCATACTTGTATTTCGTAAGTACTCTGTGTACAGTTTGGCCATCTTGGGATGCTCCCAGACTTCTGCTGTAATTCAAATACCAGCAAGCCCCCAACAAATTTTCAGTTATGCAGAATAGGAATGCTTAAAATGGATTTATAGAAGTAAAGCATGTATATTTTTCCTCATACCCAGACAAAAGAATTTCATTATATCATTGTAAAACTCATTTCTAAAGCCACAGGAAGTGGGGGCTCCATCTAAATTAATCTTCAGGTCTCTACCGAAGATTCAGACTGCCTTCAGACGTTTAAAAGCTAGTTGGATGAAAATTCCCGGCCCACGCCTAACCTCAAGTTCTGACAGGTTTACTGGTAGCTCTTGTCAAATTTCAAGGCTGTTGATGACAGAAACTGAAAGTGGTAAATACTTAAACTGACAGAGTCAGGACACAGACTCCCTGAAGCTAATAGCCATGCACAATTAGATACACCCTCAGCAGTAATAGCCTTCTATCACCTCTGCAACCATCCTTTGCCAACTACCAGTATGTCAAGAAAAGTTTCAGCATAAGCCTTGGATACTCAATGTCTTTTCACCTCTTCAAAGAACAAACAGTGCTCAACTATAAAACAGAGTAACATTTCCCTGAGAGTAGTATCACACAATTTCTTAGGTAGGAACCTATACCACTTAGGGATAACAATAATACCAAGTCGACCAGTAAACACATATCTGGGAAGATTGTAGCAGAATTTAGAAACTCAAAAGATGGACAGACTAGGTTTGTCAGCAAATCTGCTTGCAATAATTCCTTTGGACAAAGAATAACCAATAATTAAGGCCAATAAAAATATTATGATCAACCGAATATCTAATGAACAGATCCAAACAGTATCAGATCTATAAATTTCAGTTTATAGATTTTCATGGTACCAATAGGGATAGTTGAAGCCATAAAAGGAGAAAAGTATTTTTAGCAAATGCACAAAGGCCTGTGGGAATAAGCCATGCTAGATGTATGAAGCTGGTCTCAATTACCTCAATGCCAATGTAATTTTTAAATAGTATAATTACTACTGGTTAAAGTGAATTGCAAATGTTTTGAGATACAAACTGGGATTAACAAAACAAAAATGAAGAATATAATCCCAATGTTAGAGCAATATAAATTCTATTTTAGAGAATGGCATATTTAGCACAGTCAAAATATAAATGTTTCGTTGACTGAAGTGACCAGACACAAACAAGATCAACTGTACAGGACATGGCAGTTTCTTTACACATACTTAGTTATTTAGCACCATCTGCTGGTTAGTCCACTCAAAGTTCGGAGGCAATCAATTAAATGAGTTTCAGGTCATAGAAAGGTGCCATCACATACAAACATTTAATACTTTTCAATAATCCATTCAGCTAGTTTTTAGATTTTGATACACAGACCCAAACAAATCACCAAATCTTTTGAAATTTTAAAGCACTAGCAATTCATTGACTGCATCAAAACAAACAGTATTTTGGTACCTTGAAAATGAACAGACACACTATGGCATATGCCACAATAAATCGGTTCACGTTTAACTGCCTTGGGGGGGGGAGGTGTCTCTGAAATATATGCGTCTTCACTACATACATACCACAACCGTGACCTGTTATGACTACAAATATTTTAATAGTTTTTCAGTTCTTGAAGACCAGACTTCCAAGAAAATGGTGATGGAATTATGTTGCATAAAGTGTAAACAACTGTTTACATCATTCTACCATCTCAGTCTTCAGGAGAAAACAATTTCTTGCTCAAAGTACACTTACAGAAGCCAAGTGAGATTAAACGTAAAACGTAACACTGCATGTTCTTAAAGACTGTCATTTATTTGCCAGATTAAACTACAATTTGTGTCAAATTGAAGAAATGTTTAATAAGACCTTTTCTCTGAAGCAAAGAGAGTCTCAAGCAACCCCAAACTTTATCAGTTGCTGTGAACAACAGTTTAGGCTATGAAAAAAAATCAGTGTCTTGATTTTTTTCTCAACCATGGCATTTATTAATATTCGAATAAGGACAGATATTTCTATGGTTGGCCGTGACAAATTTTCTTCAGAACTAGAACCTTGACCCAAAAATTCAGGAGCCAGACTCATCCATAAAAGATACAATATTTTCACTGTTGTATGAGCTGCCTTGAGCAGGTTTATGGAGAAGGGGCATATACATTTGCTGGAATTCAAAACAAAATCTTACACCACCTACAGAAGGAGGAGGAGGAGACTGGATTTATACCCTTATACCCTTATGCCCTTCACTACCGAAAGGAGTCTCAGAGCGGCTTACAAACTCCTTCCCCTCCCCACAGCAGACACCCTGTGAGGTAGGTGGGGCTGAGAGAGCTCTGACAGAAACTGCTCTTTTTCAAGAACAGCTGTGCCAGAACTATGGCTTGCCCAAGGTCATCCAGCAGGTGCAAGTGGAGGAGTGGGGAATCAAACCCGTTTCTCCCAGATTAGAGTCCGCACACTTAACCACTACACCAAATTTGACTGCATCTGTACAGAAGAACCCTAAAAAGAATAGATCCCAGGGTAAAGTGTGCAAGCCATAATGCATAGGGACAATCTTGTATATGGAGTATTATCACAGGTTTTTTCTCCACCTGTGGTTTGAAACAGATATGTACAGGCCAGAAGTTGTACCATATCATCTACTTATAATTCTGGTAGCTTTAGAGGCATGGAGGTGCACAGAGGAGCTTTTGAAATGTTTTAAAGTAAACTTTTTGTATGCCTTCACCCATTGGACAATTCCCCTTCAGCACCTGAAAAGGGGAGGGGAACGCTTTACCCACTTTCAGACAGCGCCCATTTTGCATACACGAAAAGTGACAATATGCAAAAAAGGCAGATCACTGGAGTATGGCAACAGTCTGAATCAGTCTTACAGGCAAAATACATATTAATTTCACAATCATATAAAATCCTAGTAGTTTTTAAAAGAAAAGATTCCTCAGGAAGCTATGTTTTAAGTAAAAAAGAAGGGTGAGTGCATGTACTATTTAGCACTTTCTACTCAGTGATACAGAATCTGTCCAGAATAAATACAACTACCTTTTATCTATCTTTCTGTCCCTGTCTGCCTGTCTCTTCTCTACTTGCACATGCTCCTCAGTTCTGCCTTTTAAGAATGCTTCCAAACCCACCAGTTAAGCAAGGTTTTTTATACGAGTGCCAAAAATCCCTGAAAAGTATGGCTGGAGCTGACAGATGAACTTCTTAAGTAGCACTCCACCTTTTTCCTCTTAGGCACAGTTTTTAGATAAAAGCCTTGACTACAAGGAACAGGATGGAGAGCTACTTAAGAGGGTGAGCTAGCAGCTCCAATCCAGCATCATGAGCAGCACTCTAATCCTGCCTCCTAGCAACAGCTATGGGAGATAGCTCTGCAGGTCATTAGAGGGGCTGAAAAGAAACGGTATATGCTACAGGAACTGTCAAGGCACTATGGCCCCCTAGTGACTGGGTTTGTCAAGGCCTCCTCCCAGATATATGTGGTATGCAGTTACATGATTTGGGTTGAATACATAAATATTTGCAAGAAATACCTGAAGAACCATTAGCTACTTTTAAACATTTGCACTTTACTAAAAAAATAAACACCGTCCTGAATGTTAATTAAATGAATAATTGCTTTTGTTGTTGTTGTTCAGTCGCACAGTCGAGTCCGACTCTTCGCGACCCCATGGACCAGATCATGCCAGGCCTTCCTGTCTTCTGCCGTCCTCTGAAGCTGGCTCAATTTCATGTTCGTTGCATCTATGACACTGTCTAACCATGTCATCCTTCGCCGTCCCCGTCTTCTTTGACCTTCAACCTTTCCCAGCATCAGGGTCTTCTCCAGTGAGTGCTCCCTTCTCATTTGGTGGCCAAAGTATTTGAGCTTCAGCTTCAGTATCTGGCCTTCCAGGGAACAGTCAGGGTTGATTTCTTTTAGGATTGACTGATTTGATCTTCTTGCAGTCCAAGGGACTCTCAAGAATCTTCTCCAGCATCATAGTTCAAAAGAATCTATTCTTCGGCGCTCGGCCTTCCTTATAGTCCAACTCTCACGGCCATACATGACTACTGGGAATACCATTGCTTTGACCATGCGGACTTTTGTTGGCAGGGTGATGTCTCTACTTTTTATCATGCTGTTTAGGTTCGCCATCACTTGTGAGATTGCTTTGGACTACTTTTACAGGAAATGTGATCAGCTTTTAAAAAGAAGTGCAATCCCATAGAATGCAGTAAGGAAAATTTAAAGCCTCATCTTTATTATGCAGTTCTTGATGAACCCGAATTGTGATTATTGCTTTTTCAAGAGTCCTGAGCACTCATATTTACTATGTTTATTAACTGTAGCTTCTAGAAAACCTGCTCCAGAAGGCATTAACTAACATGGTGTAGTGTGAGTGCAGAAGGAAAACATGGTCAATTGACACTAGAGGTGTGCATTCGGTAAATCTGAACCAAAAAACCCAAAACAATGCATTTTGGGGGTATTTAGCAAGCCGAATCAGAATTTTCACCCAAAGAGTGATTAACACATGGAATTCACTGCCACAGGAGGTGGTGGCAGCTACAAGCATGAATGGCTTCAAGAGGGAATTAGATAAGCATATGGAGAAGAGGTCCATTGGTGGCTATTAGCCACAAGGTATAGATAGGGACTCTGGGGCAAGTGATGCTTTGTATTCTTGGTGCTTGGGGGGGGGTCAACAGTGGGCGGGCTTCTAGTGTCCTGGCCCCACTGCTGGACCTCCTGATGGCACCTGGTATTTTTGGCCACTGTGTGACAGAGTGTTGGACTGGATGGGCCATTGGCCTGATCCAACATTGGCTTCTCTTATGTTCTCTGATCCAATTCAGCTTCCAAATACAGAATGCCAAAAAGGCCAAAAATATTTGGCTTTTATTCAGCATTTTTCAGCATCACCGAATATAGGCTCGGGGGTGATTTAAACTTCTCTTTCCTGCAGTTTCTGTCTTTTCGTGCCCTTTGCTTTGCTTTCCAGGAGGGAAGGAGAAGAGGGAACTTACATACAGCCAATCACTGCAATGCATTTGCAACTGCCATTGCAGCTTGCAAGGCTGTTGTTGCTGATGGCTTCAAACCTGAAGCCAAAATACTAGCTTGCCTTCCCAGGGACAGGGGGGGAGCACTGACCAACAGGATTACAGGTAAGGGTGGGCACACTGCTCTTTGGCCAATCACACGTTTGTGCATGGCCAAAGAGCATAAAAGCAGGGGTCACTGGCTGGCTGACTCCATTCCTGCTGGATGGCTGACTCCATTCATGCTGGGAGAGATTTGGAGATTGTGTGGCTGGCTTCTGCTTCAGCAACTGCCCTGAGCCTGACCCACCTGCTTCCTGAGAGATTAACTTGGACTTTTTCAAATCAAGATCCTAACTGCTGGAGAACAGAGGACTGAAAACAACCACTGATTTGACTGATTAGGGCCAGTTTTTAAAAACTTTGTTTTTAAAAGAAAAACTTTCTGAGGCATTAACTTCAGGGCTTCTCTGTAGTATTTTGATGATTCTGTGCTAAAGCTGACATCAGTCCTCCCATTGAGCTGGCATTTGCCACAATGGCATTGGGTTCAGCTAGTAGGTTGGCACTGTGTTCTGTTGATAGGTGGGTTGGCACCAGTGTTCCCTCTAAGCTGAGTTTGTGTGAGCTAGCTCACAGTTTTTTAGCGTCCAGCTCACACATTTTTGTCTCAGCTCAGGAAGGATGGCTCCGGAGCAAACTAATTTATGCAGCAGCCAAATCACTCACTCACAACTTTAATGCCAGCAGCTCACAAAGTAGAAATTTTGCTCACAAGACTCCACAGCTTAGAGGGAACATTGGTTGGCACTGGGTTCTGCTACTGGGCACTAGCACTAGAATATTGCACTGGTTTTGCTGCTGGCCTTACAAACATGCCCCCTCAATTTATACTTCAGAGATTCTCACATCTGATCTTAGTCCTGTTGGGTTTCATAGTGGCACTGGTTCTGCTGGGCACATAGTACTGGTTCTGCTTCTGGCCTTGCAAACATGCCCTCTCACACCACCACACCACACCTCACTTAGTTTCTACTGCAGATATTCTTTGTGAGAAACTGCTGGGCTGTTGGTTTTATCTGCCTGCCTTTTTCCCCCTTCCATAGGAAACAATTGAGGATTGGGGGCACCCCCTTTGGATGCCCCTATAATTGGACCCCCGGTCCAATCTTTTGGAGACTTGGGGGTTCTTTTGGAGAGAGGCCCCAGCCGTACAAATCTGGTGTCTCTGCCTCAAACCCCCTCCCCCCCAGCCCACTGAATACTCCTTAGAAAAATTTGCCATTTACTACAATGGTCCATAGGATATAATGGAGCTGAATATTTTCGGGAATATCAAATATTTTCGGATACCAATACAATACCAGTATTGGTATTCGGTAATACAAAAAAAATGGCTTCATTATACCTGAATCTGAAAAATACCGATTTTCCCCCCCTGCACACCCCTAATTGACACCTGAAGGAAAGGACTGGGTTAAAGAACTTCAGTCATCCTTTAAATTAATATTTTTTAAAGGAGGACATTTAAGCTTGCTAGAGTTATTTCACCCTCTTTCCCCTGACTTATATGGCTATTACCCAACCTCCTGACTTATATGACTACTAGAAATAATGCCCGTTGCGGAAATAAATACAACGGGATCTAGAAAGAGGCTCTGGGAGAGTGCTCTGGCTTTGGGCAAACAGTGGCAGTTTCCTGTGGCGACCTCAGCAGGGTTTAATGACAGAGTCCACTGTTTTCTCCAGAGGGACTGATCTCTGCTACCTGAAGAGCATTTGTATGTTTGAGTTATCTGTAGCCCTCACCTGGAGAGTGGTAACCATTGTTACCCATTCTCCTCTCCCCTATGAGGTATGCAACTGAAAATTCCAACTGCCTTGCGGGGGGGGGGAGTTTGAGGTGTGGAATGGACTGAAGTCCAATCAGCTTCCATATGCAAAAGACCAGGTTGTCGCAGCAGTTGTGGTGTGGGCGGGACCCGGGCTTTGCCTTCTGATTGGTGGCGATATATGCTGAGGAGCAGTGCCATCAGCCATACACTAAGGGAGTGCATTTTAGAATTAGAACTTTGGCACCCACTATTCAATTATATATAAGGAGAGATCACTCCACATCGGTCCTGTGACCCTGGGCATAATTTTCTCAAGATCAGAAATGGCTGTTGTGGGACAGGAGGCAGGGCAGTCAGGAAAATTTCAGATCCTTGCATTGTCCATGCAAGATTCTTGCACTAGATCCAATCAAAGATCTCGACTAATGTGACATTTCACCAGTTAAAGGATGTCATTGCCATTTACATGTCATTAAAGCGTGTGTGTGGGAACAAACAGCCTATTCCCAAATTCAGCATTCAGAAGTATTATATTTACACAGGACCAAATAGTATCTTTATTCTTATAAAGTGGACAAATACAAAAATTCTGAACTCCTAACATTTTCATATAATGGAAATGAGAATTGCTGATGACTACATTTGAAAATTATGCAACCTTGCTAGGTCATACCTAGCAAAAAACATAAAATCAAGCAAACAGCAACCTTTTTAGCACTTATAATCACCAACATGGTTTAGAACCTGCCACTCATTTATACAATGAGAATGTGAGGAAAAAGCCACTTTCACTCATCCTTTCCTTGCCAATAAAAAATGAAGTCAGTTTACCAGAAAAAGGGTAAAGAAACCATTTAAGATTCCATTGTAATGATTTCCAACAAATCTGATCTTCCAAGGCTTTCGAAGAATTTTTCTAACTTGTCTAGAACACTGATCACCCCATAACAATAAGCAGATGGATTATATACATACCAGCATTTTAAACTCACCATTTCAGTGGTGTGCCTTCGTATTCAAACCATATTTCTACAACATCTTCTTGTCTCATAACTTTCTGAAAATGTTTTTTCACCTTGTCTGTTACAAGTGTCAGGTAACTAACTCTAGGTAAGAGCAGCTGTAAGGAAAGGTTTAAATAGGACATATCCAATAAAAAACTGAATACGTAGCTTCAAGTCAAAATATTCCTTAACTTTTAAGCCTTGATTTTTAAATACAGCATTAATGTTTCTTTAGAAAGTCCAGATAAAGTTTAATTTATTCACTTACTTCATTTAGTTGAAATTTAAATAGTTTAAATGTTAACCTGTTTTTATGATTATTTATTGGAATGACAGAGTGTATTTACTGAATGTTGTGAACCGCTCTGAGCCCTACATGGGGGAGGGTGGTCTAGAAAACAAATTAAATAAATAAAATTTATACCTCACCTCCCCCCCTCCAAGCAGCTTATATTGTTCTCTTTTCCATTTTATCATCACAACAACTCTGTGATGTAGGTTATGCTAAGAATGTGTGACTGGCCCAAGGTTACCCAGCAAGCTTCCAGCAGAGTGGGGATTTGAACCTGGATCTCCCAGATCTTAGTCTGATACCCTAACCACTACACCACACTAGCTGTCAAAAGGAGGAAGAAAGACAGTAGACCAAACACATAATACCATCTATCCTTCCTGTGTTTAGTTTAGAGATTGGAGATGGGGAAAACAGGTGGGGAGGGAGATGACTCTGGTCACTACAGCTATAGTAATGTACCAGCATTTCCACCACCAATAGGTCCATAGATCTAGTTTGGAATGGTGGAGTTATTTTCAAATAAGGTTTGTAACATACAGTATGGAATTAGCACCTAAAATTTCCAATCCTTTGCAATGTGCATTAATTTAACTTATTTAACACAGGTTGTTCTGAAGGTTTATCTTTGTCTTTTGTATATCAACATTTTTATGGAAAAATATCATACAAATATGTGACTAAATTGTACTTGCCTCCCAAACACATATATCAATTGCAGGCTAATTATATGCATGTTTACTAAGTCATGTTTACTAACACATATATCAATTGCAGGCTAATTATATGCATGTTTACTAAGGTGGAGCTGCGGTAGCTCAAGTGGTTAAGACACTGAACTGCAGGCTGTGGAAGGTCGGTAGTTCAGCAGTTCGAGACCCGAGCTCCCGTCTCTAGTTCCAGCTCTTGTCAACCTAGCAGTTTGAAAGCAAGAAATTGCAAGTAGATAAATAGGTACCACTTCAGTGGGAAGGTAACAGCGTTCTGTGTGCCTTGGTATTTAGTCATGCTGGCCACATGACCACGGAAACGTCTTTGGACAACACTGGCTCTTTGGCTTTGAAACGGAGATGAGCACCACAACCCTAGAGTCGGATTCGACTGGCTTTCAAGCAAGGGAACTTTTACCTTTAACTAAGTCAGCTGTTGGTCATTCTACTGAGTCAGCTGTTGGTCTTATCTACTAAATACTCGGGTTTACAGCTTTTAGAGAAAGAAACATTATCAAGGGTGCAATCCACCAAGATCTGTTTAAATGAGGCTTCCAAGACAAAAATTCACAGAGAGAAGTTATTCAGCAGAAGAAACGTTTTCCTTCTATGAAATAATAGGGGGAAAGCATTCTTGTGCACAAGCAGGAAAATCTACTTTCAGTGACTTCTCAGACATATCTGGGAAACTGAAGATTTCTTCATCCTTGTACTATCAGGCTGCAGCTGTTTCTTGGGAATAAGAGAAGCAACTAGTCTACCACAGAACCCTCTCTTGCTTAGGAAAGAGAGACTACTAGAGGGGCATTTTGAATTATCAACAACACATTCCACTCCACAAAAAGACCTTCTGAGCATCAGGCCTTATAACAGAGCTAGGAAACACTGTTCCCGGAAGAGGGGCAGCATTAGGCTGCATATCTCTAGATAATAGAAAAAAGCATTAGTACTAGGGGTGTGCAAAAAAAAAAAAAAAAAAAAAGCTAGTATTTTTGGACTCCAGGTAGATCAGACCTGAAAAATATTGATAAATGTCAAATTTTCCCAGTCCAATACCGGTAAAGTATTAGGACTGGGGAAATATTCAGTATTGCTAAATATATTCGGGTCTGATATACACCACCAGAGGGAAAGGAGGCATGTTAAAATGCCTTCTTTCCCTCTGGTAGCCCCTACAGATTTCCTTGTCAATTTCACTCCCCACCAGTCAGCTGTGAGTGAAATTGACAAGGGAAAGCCTGGCCTCTCTCTTTCTCTCCCCGATCTCCAGCAGGGAAAGAAAGGCATTTAAACATGCCCCCCACTTTCCCTCCCCCAGTTTCTCCGCAAAAGCAGAAAGGCTCAGGGAAGGAAGGGGGCATGTCTGCATGCCTGCCCTTCCCTTCCCCAGCCAACCCACCATGGCGATATCAGGGAGGGAAAGAAAGGCATTTAAACCCAACAGCTGACTGGCAGCTCAAGCTGTTAGGTTTAAATGAGAGCTTGTTTTTGGTATAGCAAAATGAACCTGAAAAAAAGCCAGATAATATTGGCTTTTTCGGATTCAGCTATACCGGTAGCCAAATACAGATCTCTGATATGTATTCAGCTTATGTGATACCCGAAAAATATCGACAAGGTGTTTTGGGGGTATTTTTTCGATTCGCCTATTGCCGAATAGTAAAGGTAAAGGTAAAGGTTCCCTTGCTCGAAAGCCAGTCGAATCCGACTCTAGGGTTGCGGTGCTCATCTCCGTTTCAAAGCCGAAGAGCCAGCGCTGTCCGAAGACATTTCCGTGGTCATGTGGCCGGCATGACTAAACACCAAGGCGCACGGAACGCTGTTACCTTCCCACCGAAGTGGTCCCTATTTATCTACTTGCAATTTCCTGCTTTCGAACTGCTAGGTTGGCAGGAGCTGGAACTAGAGAGAGGAGCTCACCCTGTCTTGCGGCACCCGGGTCTTGAACCGCTGAACTACTGACCTTCCACAGCCTGCAGTTCAGCGTCTTAACCACTTGAGCCACCGCAGCTCAAGTGCCGAATGCACACCCCTAATTAGTACCCATTTGTTAGAAGGCAGATATGCTACCAAGCAAATTTTGCACACAGGAAATATTTTTGCGCAACATTCTTTTATAATACCTACGTAGTAAGGTTCAGCTTCTCTTTCAGTGATCTCATCTTGATATAGAGTAAAACAGGTTGGTATTCGCCCAAACCACACTTTTCTAAGTACATCTTTGTCATCTGTCATTCTTCCAGGAAATACAGAAGCACATGTAGCCTACCCGTTCAGGAAGAAAAACCCCTGCAAATAAAACATAACTGATCAATTTTTAGAGCCACAAGGCTATTTATTATTAATATTATTGTTATTTATAGTCCACCTTTCTCACTGAGACTCCGGGTGGATTACACAATGCAATCAATAGGATAAGACATCTAATAAGCAATGTAATAGAACTAGGATACAGATCATGTTACACCTTTAGCATGTTTCCACAGGAAAATAATGGGGATGCTACCTCGTTTTCGTTTAGACAAACTATGAATCATAGAGCTACTCATTTGGTCTTGAAATTCGAAAGATGAAATCGTTTGCCAAGAGGCAACATAGTTTGTGTGTGTTTTAATCAATGCATTTTATCTATATCTACTGATAATCAGTTCCTAAATTCTTAGAACACAGTTACAATATCCTTTGCTTTTAAAAACTATACAGCTCGTTTTGGTTGCAATTTGGTTGCAAGTCTCAGCCTAGTAGGAAAGTTTGGACGAGGGGGGGCAATTCTATGGGCCCCAGAAGGAGGTGCCCCCATTCTCCATTGTTTCCAATGGAATAGAAAATGACTTCTCAGTTTACTTGTGACCTGAAGCTAAAATCCCCGAGCTGCTACCTACAATTTTGTGTGCCAGCACCCCCTAGAGCACCTTAGAGGGCACTCTGCTATGCACTAGTTTATGAAGTGTTCTGGTTTACAAAAGAATATGAATAGCTGGTTTGGACAGAGCAGCTGGGGTAAAGAAAGGATAAGGAGTTGAAATTGCTCCATATTCCTCAAGCACAGCCCCACTGAGGAGGTGGTAGCAATTTTATCCTCAAGGCCCTCCTCACTCCAGTAGTGGTTCCTAAAGTCTGGTCCTCCCCACAGTCATCCAACCCCAAGGATAATCTTCCCAGAAATAATCTTTCAGGATCAGAAAGAGCTGCAGCAATGGAAAAAAACACTGTAAAACAATGTGCGCTTTCGACACATGGATGGCAGGATACTGCCAAATAATTTAAAACTAGCAAGACCCAGACATCAAACAGACTGAAGATGATAGAGGCTGTAACTAGCTGATGGTTCAAAATATATTTTTAAAAAATCATTAATACTTTTTTCTAAGCCTACCTAGCAGGCCCACAAGCAAGCTGTCTCATTCTCAAGTCTGGGTGTTCAGTTTAAGACAAGGAGAGGGAGGAAAGAGGGGGGGGGTAATGGGTTAGGGCATGATATAAAACCCCACATTGGGTACCAATTACTATTAGTGTTACTATTTTGGATGGCTCTCTCAAATGTTAGCTTCTTAAAGGTTTTCTAACCATGCAACCCTAAACAGAGTAAACCTTTCTAAGATCACTGACATCAATAGACTTTGAAGGGCAAACTCTGCTTCGGATTGTAATATAAAGGCCTGCTTGTATTAAGTTACTCCCCCACAAGACAACCCACAGGTTATCTCAGGTAGTGCTACCATAGGGAGTTGTAAGTACCCTGAGCCCCATATCCCAGGGGAGGGCGGGATACAAATCAAATACATAAATAAATAAATAATCCAGATTAATGTCTGGGTGGGGCAGTGACAGCTATGGCATCCCAATGGCAGAAAACCAGTTCTTGGATAGGTCTTCAATCCACAGCAACTACTTCCCGTTATAAATACAAAACTGAAAATGGAAAGGCAGGAGGAGGGAGTCAGTCGGGGGAGGGGGCTTTCGTTGACCTGCAGAAAACACACCCTCTCAATACTATCTCTGAATACAGAATCGCTACGGGTTTCCCCCGTCTATCCATCGTTTCTCCCCAACCGCAAGGGAGAAAAGTTATACAAGGCGACAAGCCACTCTCGACTGTGACTATCATCACACGCTCAATTTCCTGACTGATTAAGGGATACGAGAGCAGAGGCTGGGTGGAACCGTGCGTATGCAACGAGGTAAGCTTAGGTATCGCATCGGACGAGGCACACACAGTGGACCCACTCAAGAGCCATAAAGGGGCTTCAAGGAAGTCGGCAACTCCTCGCCTGGACTGAAAGCAGGGGGGGGGGGGGGGGGGGGGCTTGGCTCCGCTCTCCGCGCTTCCAGCCCCCTGAGCCAGCCAACCAGATCAGCCCATCCATTTCCCAACGGCCACCGCCTCCACAGACCCCCTCGAGAGGGGGGAGGGGACAAGGGACGCCGCCGTTACCTGACAATCGTTTCCTTCCCAGCCAGCGCCTTGCGCCGAGCTCGGCCACAGGTCAGCTACGCGCAGACTCTGTTCCCCGCCTACTGGCAGGAAGGCTACCGGCCATACAGAATAATGGTCAGTCAGGCCCCGCTTTCAACTTTTCTCCCCGGTCTCTATTGTAGGGCCTTGCTCTTTCATGTCTTGTGACCCAGAGCTCCCCCCCCCCCCCCCTTCTGGTTCCTTCTTCCTTTCCTATTTTCCCCCTTCCCTTCCGCGCGGAGGGGAGGGGGAGACGTTTGGGACAGCCAACTACTCTAACCAACCGTTTTCTGCGTTGGTTTTCCACAACCCGGAAGTAGCGACAGGGATCGGCCGTGTAGGCGGGAAGAAAAGAGACGTCATGCAGAATACCAGGACAGTTGCTGTGCTGAAGGCTTCCTCCAGGGGGCCGCAGATATAAGACAGCGAAGGACGGTATTGTGAGGAGGCAAAGGAGGCGGCGGGAATGGACCGTCTTTTAGCGCGGGGAAAGTCGATTTTTGTAAGCAGGGTGGACTCCGCCAACGCTCCTCTCGCCCTACCTCTTTGCTTTTAATAGCTGTATGACGTGCACAAATACAGTCGCGCTTGTGTTTGGGGCGTAGGGGTCGTGGTTACAGGGCTCGACCAGGATTGGGGGTGACCAGCTCCGGGTTGGAAATACTATGAGATTTGTGGGGTGGGGTTTGGGGAGGAGAGGGACTTCAGTGAGGTATAATGCCATAGAGTCCACCTTCCAAAGTAGCTATTTCTCCAAGTGAACAGATCTCTATCACCTGGAGATGAGTGGTAATTCTAGGAGATCTTCAGCCACCACCTGGAGGTTCAAGCCACAAATGGACCACAGTGCCACCTGGAGGTTGGCAAACCTAGATTGGGGAGGTCATCCCCAGGGGATCAAGTCTGTATTCAATCATGAGGTTCCCTGGATGATCACTGTCCAGATCATTAAATCTTAGATTAGGTCATTTTGAGTCATGTTCTAATGGCTGCAGACTTGACACCTCATTCCCTACATTGTTGGAATGCCCTGCTGTTATGCATATGTTACTGCAGTCATTGTCAGCTGGATTTTCTTGTCTGGACAAGACAGCCCTGTCTCAAAAGACTGCTAAAATGTAGCAATAGTGAAATACCCAACTATATGAGGATGCAGCTTGTTCTGTTTTGGCTCTTTTGACTAGGTAGGGAAATTATGTGGCATTTCTGAAATGATCCTGGGTTGACTGCTGTATTATACATAAAAGCATTTAATGGATGTAGGTTAATATATAGTCATAGGTTTATCACATTTTGATTCTGTGCACCGCTTTCAGTGGCTATCAGTAGAACAAAGTTCAAGTCCAGTGGCACCAAGACCAACAAAATTTTATTCATGGTATAAACTTTAGTGTGCACACATGCTTCTTCAGATACAATGAAATGGAAGTTTCCAGTCTATACGAATAGGTAGAGGTTTAGCAGTAAATTAAAATCAAATTGCCAACATTCGCTGATTATGGAAAAGCAAGGGAGTACCAGAAAAACATCTACTTCTGCTTCATTGACTATGCTAAAGCCTTTGACTGTGCGGATCACAACAAACTGTGGCAAGTCCGTAAAGAGATGGGAATACCAGACCCACCTCACATGTCTCCTGAGAAACCTGTATAAGGGTCAAGAAGCGACAGTTAGAACCAGATATGGAACAACTGATTGGTTTAGCACAGGAAAAGGAGTATGACAAGGATATATATTGTCACCCTGCTTATTTAATTTGCATGTAGAGCACATCATGCGAAATGCCAGCCTGGATGAATCGCAAACCAGGATTAAGACTGCTGGGAAAAACATCAACAACCTCAGATATGCAGACGATACTACTCTAATGGCAGAAAGTGAAGAGGACCTAAAGAGCCTCTTGATGAGAATGAAAGAGGAGAGCGCAAAAGTTGGCTTGAAACTCAACATCAAAAAAACTAAGATCATGGCATTCAGCCCCATCACTCCTTGGCAAATAGAAGGGAAAGTCATGGAAGCAGTGACAGAATTCATGTTTTGGGATCTAAGATCACTTCAGATGGTGACTGCAGACATGAAATTAAAGGACGCCTGCTCCTTGGGAGAAAAGCTATGGCAGACCTAGACAGCATAATAAAAAGTAGAGATATCACCTTGCCAACAAAAGTCCGTATGGTCAAAGAAATGGTATTCCCGGAGGTTGTACGCATGCGCTGAGGGTATGTGGGCGATATGTTTAGGGGGGGAAACTTAAAACCTTTACAGGAAATAACAGAAGAGATAGGTAAACAGTACTGGTTAAAAATAGCAGGGCAATATAAGATAGTTAAAAACATTAGTGAAAAGGAAGACCTCTGGATAGATGCACCAATGGAAGAAATATACAAAGAAATGGCTAAGCAAAAAAAGGGACTGGTAGGAAAAATATATAGAAAGACGCTAACAAATAAAAATAAAATAACAGAATATTTACAAAAGAGATGGATTCATGAAGGTCAGATAACAGAGAGGACGGTTGATAAAATTATGAAAGGAATTGAAGAGATCAAAGTAACCAAATTTAAAGAACTGGAATACAAATTCCTCACAAAATGGTATAAGACACCAGCACAGCTAGCAAATATGATCCCAGGACTGAGTTCTTTGTGCTGGCATTGTAAACAGTCTAAAGGCTGGTATGCGCACATGTGGTGGGAATGTGCAGAAGTAAAGACCTTTTGGAGGGAAATTATTGTAATCATTAGGAAAGTATGCAATGTAACATTACCTATAGACTTTAACCTAATGCTGTTAAGCACAATAGGAAGCCCGATATTGGATAAGAAAACTCAAAATCTAGTTAAGGCTATGATACTGGCGGGAAAGGCAGTTATCGCTCTGGGTTGGAAAGACAAAAGTAAATGGACAATAGAAATCTGGCACAACTATTTGTTTGATTTTATACAGTCAGACATTGTGGAATCAATCAACAAGGGAATAATTTGGGAAGAAAAATCCACAGAAATCAAGACCAGATGGAAGATCTACCTAGACTGGATGCTGAGAGAAAGAAGGAAGGACATTCAGCAGAAGATTAAGACTCTGTGCCCTTGGCTGGGAGAAAAAGACTATGACTAAAAGAGAGGGAGGGAGGGAGGAAAGGGGAGGAAATGTAAATAACTATAAATACTCAATGTAATAGACTAAACAAACAATAATAATTAAAAAAAAGAAATGGTATTCCCAGTAGTAATGTATGGCTGCGAGAGTTCAGTTTAGTTTATTGTAATTAGTCATTGGCAGTAACAAGATTACAAAATACAAATTGTGAACAAACTATAGGTTAATATCAGAAAATACAAAAGTACCAGAAATCAATAACAACATATGATTTAATACAGTGCTGCGAGAGTTGGAACATAAGGAAGGCCGAGCACTGAAGAATAGATGCTTTCAAATTATGGTGCTGGAGAAGACTTGAGAGTCCCTTGGACTGCAAGGAGATCAAATCAGTCAATCCTAAAAGAAATCAACCCTGACTGTTCCCTGGAAGGCCAGATACTGAAGCTGAAGCTCAAATGCCTTGGCCACCAAATGAGAAGGGAGCATTCGCTGGAGAAGACCCTGCTGCTGGGAAAGATTGAAGATAAAAGAAGGGGATGACAAAGGATGAGATGGTTAGTGTCATCGATGCAACGAACATGAAATTAAGCAAACTCCGGGGGATGACGGAAGACAGGAGGACCTGGCATGATGTGGTCCATGGGGTCGCAAAGAGTTGGACTCAACTGTGCGACTGAACAACAACAGCATACAACATAATGAAGTTTTTAACAGATTCAAGGACCAAACAGGAATAACAAGCTTAGTTTATATGGTTACCATTTGTTTGGGTTTAATTCCGGGGGGAAACACAGTGAAGGAAATAAATATATCAAAATTGGAGATTGATGGGCAGATGTACCCCTCTTAATTGTAGAATGTTGAGAGTAATTCACTGAGACACTGCCATTATGCTCCATCAGTCTCAAGCTTGGAAGCGACCTTACAGCATCCTCTTCTTTGAAGTGGGGCAATTTGCTGTGTAGAGTTATCTCCCCTGTCCCCAGACCAGAGAAAGAAATTATAAAGGATCCAGCACTTAGAGTGGCACAAGATACAAAAAGACAGATATTGCTGTGTATGTTCATCAAATTTTCAATTTTCCAAGTTGTATTTTGTTTTTCAGATACATCAAACAACTCAATAAGTACAAAGTCTTCAGAAGAGAAGAAGAAGAAGGACGGACCTTCCCGGGCTTTCTGTAGTCCGTTTCGAACAATATCTTTCTCAGATGTCAATTCATGTTGTCTATAGTGTTCTTACAATTCCAATCTTGACTGTATATGTGGTGTTTACAAAAGTTCAGAAACAGCTGCTCATAGCTCTATTGTCTACCGGTCTCCATTCAGGATTATATAAGACCGATAGCTTCAATGAGGATTTTCAAAGGAAGGTGTTGTCATCATTGTTGTGTCACAGCATCCCCCTTTAAAAATGGCACTAAAATATTGCTGTATCATTAGAATTTTGTAGCAATAAGTTTAGCAGGTTATCTGAATTCTCAGCTTTCATTGTTTTTTTAAAAAGTAAGTCTCTGCTGCTCTGCCTCATGTAGACACGCCTTTTTCCTTATGTCTCTGTGAGGAAAGGGATTAGAGACTTACTTTAAAAAAAAGAAGGAAAGCTGGGAGTTCAGAGAACCTGCTATGCCTGTTGTTACAACACTTCAGCATTTTTGTGATATTTTAGTGGCTTTTTTTGGGGGGGGGATAAAAACTTGTCAGCAGCTCTAGATCCATACGGACACTCAGTGGCAGGACCATTGGGGTGGAGGAGCACCTCAATTCCCCAGCATCATGCTGGCGAAGAGGCCACCCCTCAAAAGCCCCATGGCTAGGAGCCTTTTACCAAGGCTCCGAGGGGGGTAGCAACCCGTCACCCTCCCTCCTTTCCGCTGGTATGCAGATCACATCCCCAGGAGGTCCGGGAGATGTGTCTGCCAGTGTGTTGCCATGAACCGGAAGCTCCAAAAGCCTTTTATCTCAACCCAGTAATGCATATTCTCATCTATTTCTCTCTGTCCCATGCAAATCTATACTTCTAATCTATATTAATTTCTTCTTTCTCTACACCAGCATGTGTAACTGCATTTTCATCTTTACCTCTTTTT